AACACAGCATTACGTTAATTATGTGTATTGTTACGAATACAAATGCAATGTCAACTGAAAGTCTGCGAGGAGCGTAAGCTCTTTCAACTTTTGACACAATTTCATATTTGCTGTATTGTCTTTAATGATACATAACTTTCTTGAGTAACTCTAAAAAAGGGTTTATCTGCCGAACACAGCATTACGTTAATTATGTGTATTGTTACGAATACAAATGCAATGTCAACTGAAAGTCTGCGAGGAGCGTAAGCTCTTTCAACTTTTGACACAATTTCATGTTTGCTGTATTGTCTTTAATGATACATAACTTTCTTGAGTAACTCTAAAAAACCATAAACATTGATCCTTTCGACAAAATGACCTCATTCCATACTTGGAGTAGCCGTGATCTAGGTCCATTGAATAACAATTGTTTCTGATGATGTATCTTTTTTTTATTACAAATATCATCTGGATGCATCCCCTATTACCACAAGAGGCTGGAATGCATGAAAAAATCCAGCATCAGACGATTTTAAATTCTGTTTTCTCTGTGCCAAATAAAAGAATCTTATTATCCTCTTTACGTTATTTACTTATTATGCTGCCTAAAGCCTTGCGAGCATGCTGATTATCAAACTTGTTTAACTTTCCATGTAGCCATGCTTTATTAGCCACGCTCTCTCAATTTCCCGCGTATTCCGCGTCCGCATCCGCGTAATAAACCATTGAAAATTAGGAAGCCAACGTTAGAGATCTAGTCGTAGATGAGGGCGAGGCCCTGACTTAACTATCAAGGCCTATGAAAGTCTACAGTTAGTGTTTCGCCCCTCCAGAAAATCTCTTCGAAAAAGTGAGCAAGTAAGATGTACAAACGTATAACGAAAACCGTGACAACATGTATGTAATTTGTTAGAGGAGAGCCCTCCATATTAAAGTTTGTTTTTTATTTTCCTCAGGGCTAACAGTACGATATCAAATATGCAGAAAATTGATTGTTTGTGTATCGATCATCGTAGCCAAATTGCATGACTTGACCTCTTGTTGTGGATTAAGAATGGGTTATATTAAGAAAACGATAAAGTTAGAACGTATCGAAATATAAATTCGGTAGGACTTCATGCAATTATTGATGGTTGGAGCAGTTAACTCCAGGATGTTTGGGTCAAGAGGTAGAAACATTGAAACAAATGCGTGTACTTCGTGAAATGAGGTAAAATAAAGTAAACAAATAGGTAAATATCGTGTGTGTTGACTTTTTTCAGGAAATTTCATGGATATTTTTATTTCGAACGTTACAACTATGAAATGTAACAATATGCACGTCCGCGAAATGCTGTTGGATCGCTCCATTTAAAAGAAATGAAAAATTTTCATTCTGAGTATTTTGAAGCCAATTAATTAGGAGGAATTTACGATAGCAAAAGAATCAGTGATTCACTCAAAACAACTCAAGGACAATAAATTACCAAGAACATCATAAAATATGTGCTAATACCAGAATCATTTCAGAATTTAATTACATATTAATCTTACCTCCATGAATATTGTTAAATTACTCATTTCGATGGCTTTTTCGAGTAGATGACTGTCGTCTCCTATATAGAGGATTTATTTCAGGAGGTGAAAAAGATATGAATTTTATGCTCGAGTGGCAAAAACATCATCTCACTCGTTCGATATGCCTACTGCATTGAAATTTCAGGTGTTTGACCTTCTGAGAAGGTAAATTATTTTCTTCTCAATCCATTAACACTGACATGAGGTCCAGCGACATTCCTACATGCAACACAAAACATGTCTTTTTATTTTCGGTCTTTTTCCTCCCTTCTCTCAATCTACGATCGCTTATAGCTCGTGGAGTCTTCGGGAGTAACTTAAACTCTGATACATTTCCTCTCTACTCGAAATGTCTAGGAATAAAACAGCTTTGACCTAACTTCATTGTATTTTCATTACTGAGGGTAGGAAAGAAAATTTCTCTTTTAGCCACTTTTCAATGACTCCGATTTACTGCTCTGGCTCAAAATGCATGCTCGGATATTTGTCCGCGGATATTATCTGTTCCGAGATGCGAACAGTTTTCCGACGGCGATGCTCCAGGAAAACTGTGAGCTTCTAGGACATAAATTTAATGGATTTTAAGAAAATCAATCCACCATCATAAATTATCACTAGGGTAGAGTCCTAAGCTTGTATAACGACTGCGCCTCAGGAGATTTCGAAATAACTCGAAACACGTTTTTTGTCACTCCTTTATTAAGTTGTATCATTGTTACCTTACTTTCAGCGATTTGAGAAACTTGACTGTTAAATTCAACACGTCGATTGTCACAGAAACTAATAATCTCGAAGCGTATACGTGTTTCCGAGAGCTAGGGTTTATTGGCGCGCGAGTTATTTTAGTTTGGCTCTATCTTATTACATGATTTACTCCTTTCTTAAATACAAATGATAACAAAAGAAAAATAAATGAAAAAAGATGTTATTCAGTGAATGACACAGGCATGCTCGGATGAAAAAGAACTCCGACTCCGACCGCTTTTAATGAGAGCTCTAGTGAATGGAACGGTTTACCTTTTGCAAGAAATATAACGCTGTCGCAACAAAAGAACAGTCAGTTACGCGAGCGTCATACAGTTTTTTTTTGCGGTATTTTTTCGGTAGAGTATTGCGCGCCCTTATATCACCATGCGATGATCTCGAGCGTGTTCAGAAACGCACGCTTTCCGTAATTTCTCTGCTGGAAATCCTTTCTTCTAGGTAACACAGACACAGACAAGCCATTTCTCCTCACTGAACGGAACTGTTTGCCAGGATTAGGGTTAGGATTAGTTTACAAAAGGTAAATACTGTATTGTCATTCAAATGTTAGCAGTTGTAAGCATGATTATTATTTGCACAAACACACACTGCTTCCATCTCAAATCTTATTAACTCGTTAGGATATGTGTGTTGAACTTCCTTCCTGGTTTCACGTTCTTGTTTTTCTTCCGTGTCGGCAAAACTGGATGTACTTTGACTCTCAACAAAATGTTTTTTTTAGGGCCGTGCTAATGCAGCACGTAATTTGGATCTACTTTTTTTTTTTAATTCAAATCACGCTTTGAAATATTCAATCGTCCGTGACGGGCGCAAACCCATTGGCGGAGTTCTGAAGGCGAGAAAGCTCACCAGAAATAATTGGAGGGTGCCGAGGTGTCCTTTAAAATAATGCTGAAAAATTGAAGACTAGATATCCTTTCAAACTGATAGAAAACTGTTGCAAAAAAATTAGCACAGAAGAAGTATATGAGTTCTCATTTTGGGCCCGAGGACGTTGAATATGTTTTCTATAAGGAATTCCTTTGAGGCCAGCTCTCCTGCTGGGTTTTGCTGTATTGCTGTTGCAAACAGTCGCAGCGTATTTAGTGTACAATACTGAAATGTTTGTTGCAAGCAATTAACCGCTGAAAGCGACTGAACACTCTGGTTAAAGTAAATAGTAGATGTGCGTTGAGTAGCAACTGTCAATATTAAAACGGCATTAAATAGGCTCCCATTATTGATCATTCCTATGAACACTTTCCTATAAACGGAGATCTAAAAAGCGTGATGCGTTTGTGTGTCTCTATTTACTTAATGAATTTGTTTATTTTTTATTGTTTCTGAAAATTGTAGTTCGACAGGAATGCTTCCTGTCATGTGTCAAACAAGGAAGGACTTAGACGGAGTCTTGTAATTGAAGGTACATGTCCTCTAAAACATCACCGAATATCATGATAATAATGCAAGCATTAGACAAGAAAACAAAACGGAAACACTTTATAACAGCCATGGATGCTTTAGCAATACCTATAGCTTCCTTCGGTGAAGGTGCAAGGGACCTAATATCTTCATTCCGTTCCACAGTTGTAATAAGCCAAAGCTTACAAACAATGAATATCATTGTAAAGTAACGCGCCGCCAAAAAGCTGTAAAGTCCAGCTTCCGTTATCGCTGAAGGCAAGGCAAGTCCCATGTCTAAGACATCCGGCAGGAAGCTGACCGTCAACATGTTAACTGTTCGCTGAAAAATCTAGATGTTCGAAGGCATTTGATTCAAATTTGATCAATAATTTATCAGATCAGTAAGGACTTTCAGCAAGCAAGGAGGTTCCATAAGTCCAACTGAGTGTCCGATTATACAGAAAGCCCTGTGAGTAAAAACGGCGCAAAACTTTTAGATGGAAAAAGGTAGACACATATTGTAGTAGAAATAAACTATTAGTGCGGCTTTAAGATCTTTAATAGACGCTTACAAAGTTGAAATTAGTGGAAAGAGACACAATCACGTACAGCACGTTTTCAAAAACACAAGGAGGAACTGTCGCTGAAACGGAAGTATCCATGAACATTGACATTGCATATGAATAACATTTAGAAGTGTATAAAATGAAGCAAAGCTTACCAAAGCTGCAGTGTAGATCAGCCACAGTCAAGAAGATAACAACAACAAGAAGGGAACCAAGAAGAAACCGAAGCAAGGGAGACAACATGTTACTGGTAAGTAAATATAGAGACTGATCATGATCAGGTCACAGTTCGAACACCCCAGGTGTGACAGAAATATGCACAACGCAGGCATCGTTATTTAACCCTTACCTTAATGGGTCCGAACTTTTTTGTCCCTTTTTTTAAAAATCTCATGTTGTCTTGTGATTAAGAATAACATTAGTATTTGCACTATAATTTTGGTTTTAGCAACCAACCCTCATTAGAGATCATCTGGCCTTCATTTTGCTGCTGCTTTGTACCTCAACAACCTTAATATCAGCTACAAATTCCACCGCTAAGAAAGTAAGTACTTGGAATTCATTTTACAAAACGGGCTAACAGTTTTTTTCTCTATATATAACCACCTCCTAATCATAGTTATTTCAGTACGCGATAAAGTGTGCAAAAAATATTCCATCAGTCAACACGATGTTTTGCAAGCACCACGAAAGACATAATATATATTATACTGATATTTCCATCACTGTATATCTCAGGTTGTTGATTATGACGTCCAATTCAAAGAATCTGGAACTCAGTACACCGAGAAAATTAAGGTGGACACAGACAAGCAAACTGAATTGTTTAAAGTTCCTGCTCATAATGACGTGGATGGAAGTAATATATTGCACGACTTCAAGGCGGTAAGTTTGTTTCTCTCTTACAGTAGAAGACACAGTTGCCGTAAAACATTAGAGAACAAAAAAAAAAAAAGAATGAGGAAGACAATGGAAACAATTGGCTGATGTGCGGTGTTCTATCGTGACGTGTACTACGAGGTGTCCTCTACACGATGAAGCCGAAAGTTTTTCCTTTATCAGTCATTGCAGGTGTTATCTTTCTAAAGTCCACTGGAATCTTTGACATTTTGATCAAATTCTAAAATTCAGGCTCGGATAACTTTGTGCGCTTGGTTTAATTCAATACCTTTAGGAACGTTCAAATAGTATGCCATATTACTCGATATTCACACACTTTGTCACATTTGAGAATGTCTTACGTCCTTGCTTGGACATTCTCAAAGAAAACTTGTTTCTTGTTTGGCTTTAATGTCACCATTCTGTGACGGTTTGTTTATCCGAATAATAAATGATTCAAGTAAAGTAAAGTGAATTTGGTGTAGTTGTTTTGAAGCTCCCTCTGGAACAACATATGTATCATAAAAACGCTAATTTGCAAACGCAACTTTAATGGCAGAATCGGAAAGAAGGGAATTCACACCTTAAAGCTACGTAAAGTATTTCCGCTTTCAGTGATTGAAACTCACTTCTTTCTCGTCTGCTTTCAACACAGAATATTAGCATGCTGATGTTACCAGACAAAAAGATCTGCTATCTTCTTCCTCTTTCCCGCGAGTTGCCTTCGCCAAAGAGGCTCGAAAATGACCTTGACAACGCCGAAGTAAGGACACGTAAGCTACTTTATGAGCACCCACTGTTGCATATTTTGGAATCTGTTGGGTTATTTTGTTTTGCCAGCTTAAAGAACGTGAGTTTCCGCGAGGATTGAAGCTGCAAGTCTTCCAATTCCTCTGCGGCATGCTCTATTTCATATCGCTAAAGTAAATAGCGTTGGCAGACTTTATGTAAGGCCCGGCTATAATGCAAACTGAAGGAAATAACCTTTGTCTGGCAGAAAAACTCTAGTGACGAGACCACTACCATTGACAGCAAGTGGGCTGTGGACAGTGAGATAACAAATCGATCCAGTCTGAGCGAAGAGTTAAAAAACTTCTGTCCAGACTACCCGATATATCGAGTCTACACCATGGAGAACGCATCTGCATCCGAAAAGACTGAAACAGATGGTAAGAGGTGTAGTTAAAGACGAAGCAGTTGTACTAATCAATTTTAGCGAAATCATCTCTCAGCTGCCCCACCCTGCGTGAGTCATACACTGCGCCCCCTTCCCAAAAACTCCACTCCTTACCTTGAGCCACAAGTTTTTTGCTATGAAGAACCCTTCCTCATAATCTTTAGATTAAGCTCCAAATGCAATACATGGCGAGCCGAAGTATCGCTTTTCTACTCAAAAATCAAAATTTATGAGATGTAATACGAAATGCTCATAAACACTTCCCTACACAAAATTTATCAAAGTCCCTGTATGATTTGAAAAATGTCATGTTCCTTTACTACAGGAGCAAAACCTCGAAGTCGTCGATGGGTGTACTCGCCAATTTACGACTCCAGAGTGTGTCCAGGTGGAAAAGGCTATTTGAGCTTCTCCGACAGGTCTTGTTGCAGTAGGGTTGGTGGATACTGGCAGTTGCGTCATAGGGTTTACTCTCATACATGCTATTCTGTCCGCTATTGTTACAGGTGGTGGTGGTTTGGGTATACCTGCCGAACACGGCACTACGTAAACTATGTGTATTGTTACGAATATAAATGTATGGTCTACTAAAACTCTACGAGGAAATCTGGTTCTTTTTAAGTTAATAAACCATTGAAAATTAGGAAGCCAGTGTTAGAGATCTAGTCGTCGACCTGACCTCCTGTTATGGAACAGGTTAAGAATTGCTTATATTAAGACAACGCTCAAGTTAGAACGTATCGAAATAAAAGTTAAATTTTTCAGGTGAGAGATAGCATTCCTTTGTCGGCAATTTGGTTTTAAATAGTAACTTTACATTATGTAATTATTGATGGTTGGAGCAATAAGCTCCAGGATGTTTGAGTCAAAAGGTAGAAACATTGAAACAAATGCATGTACTTCGTGAAATGAGGTTAAATAAAGTAAACAAATAAGTAAATATCGTGTGTGTTGACTTTGTTAAGGATATTTCATGGATATTTTGGTTCGCGAAATCCCGCTGGATCGCTCCATTTCCAAGAAATAAAGATTTTCTTTCTCTGAATATTTTGAAGGCAAGAAACTAAGGACCACATATCCTGAATTTACGATCGCAAAAAGATCAGTAATTCATTCACTGAAAAAAATTCAAAGACAATAAATTACCAGGAACGTCACAAAATGTGTGATAATACAAGAAACATTTTAGAATTTAATTACACATTAATCTTACCTCCATGAATATTGTTAAATTACTCATTTAAATGGCTCTTTCGAGTACAAGACTGTCAACTCCTATATAGAGGATTTATTTCAGGAGGTGTAAAGATATGAATTTTATGCTCGAGTGGCAAAAACATCATATTACTCGTTCGCTACGCATACTGCATTGAAATTTCCTTCTCAGTCGAACAACTCTGACATGAGGTCCAGCGACATTCCTACATGCAACACAGAACATGTCTTTTTAATTTTCAGTCTTTTTCTTCCTGTCTCTCAATCCACGATCGCTTTTAGCTCTTAGAGCCTTCGAGAATAACAGAAACTTTTCAAAACGAGTAAACTCCAATACTTTTGTTCCACTCAAAATGTCTTGGCTTTGATCACGAATCAGTGACTCCAGCTTACTGCTCTTTTCTCCTGTGCCATATAATGTAACATAAACTTTTTTTGGAGCAAAATATATGCTAAGATATTTGTGTGCGGACATTATTTGTTCCGAGATGCGAAAACTTTTAGCTTTGAGGAAGAATATTTGATGGATTTGAAGGAAAGTTATCCACCATCATAAATTACTGCGAGGGTAGAATCCTAAGCATGCACAACGACTGTGCCTCAGGAGATCTCGAAATAACTCGAAACACGTTTGTTGTCACTCCTTCATAAAGTTGCCTCGTTGTTACCTTTCTTTCAGCAAGTTGGGAAACTTGACTGTTAAATTTAACTTGATTTAATTTGATTGTGTCTCCGAAAGCTGGAGTTTATTACTAGCAAATGAGATTTACTTCCTTACACGGAGTTGTTTATCTTAAATTGTTATCGAATGCGTGATGAGTGAAAGGTTACATGCTTCTGTTGCCATTTGATTTCAAGAGATTATGTGAAATATACTGGTTTGGTTCTATTTCATTACATTTATTATTTATTCCATTCTCAAATACAAATAACGACGAAAGAAAAATAAATAAAAGAAGATGTTACTCAGTGAATGACACAGGCATGCTCAGATAAAAAAGAACTCCGACTGCTCTCAATAGGAGTCAAACTTTCGACCTTCGTTTGGTACGTCGATCGAGTTTTCGGCCACTGAGCTATGGAAGACTCGTGGCAGGCTTGACTGTTACGTGATGCTTATGCGCAATTATGATGTAAATTCGCCTTCTTCATTTACATCAAGGAAAATAAAGTTAATCACTGGTTATGTAAGATTATTAGGAGCTAATGTTAACATGCATTAGACAAACAGCGGGAAGTCACCGAATATTTGGAGAAATGATTCTTTTTAGTTCGACCGCTCAAACATGCAAATTTTCACCGTTAATATTACCCGAGTTGTGTGATCTCATGTAACGAATTTACTCGACCTCCGGTATTTCTGTCATAATCCTTTATCATTTAAACTTAATCCCCAAGACAAAGACAGTTTTAACAATGACCGATATGACAGAATCTATAATAGCTAAGTTTTTTCGTTCGTCTCACGATGTAGTCACGTGTGATGTAGATCGCGACGTTTCAACTGCATACTGCTAGTCCTCTTCAGGCGATGAGGTCGACTGGTCATGCGTGATCTTAGAAAGCAAGATCCTCTGCTGTGATTAGTTGTTTTTTCGACAGCTCTGACTGGTGCATTTCGATCCTTGCTGTTCACTCAGTGATTTGCTCCCTCGGCGGTCCGCTGTCGCACGGTTCTCCTGTTGCTGTGTTTTCTGATCGTGTGCATCCACGCTTCAGGAATTTCTATTCCATTAACCCTGTTGATATTGTTAGGGTGAAGTCTTATATGAATTGCCTCTTTTACCCTGCGCGTGTAGTAATAAGGGTCACGATCAATAAACTTTACTTCGTTCCAGAGTGGCTTGTGTCCGGTGTTGTAGGCATGCTCTGAAACGGCGGAGGTCTCGGTACGGGCGAGTCGAATGTCTCGATCGTGCTCCTTAATTCTGTCTTGCATAGATCTTCCAGTCTCTCCGATGTATACCTTGACGCATTCACAGGGAATCCTGTAAACTACGCCATCCTGTTTAGTCGGGTCGACAGCGTCTTTTGGTCGTACTGACTGAGATCTTAGCGTAGTCTCCGACTCGAAAACAGCGCGTACACCTTGTTGTTGTAGGTAACGGCGAAGCTGTTCGGACAGACCTTTGACATGAGGTAAAACCGCAGTAGCTTTGAACTCGCTGGCGGTTTCGGCACTGTTGTTTGGTTTTCTGGTCTTGGTAAGTTTCTGCAAAAAAGAAAAAGGATAACCATTAGAAACCAGAACAGATGACAGATGTTTTTTCTCCTCGGAGATGACGGAGGGTTTTGTTACCAGACGTTTGGCGTGCTCGTAAAGACGCTTAACAATACCGTGTTTTACTGATTGAGGGTGGTGTGAATCATACGCTAAGTATTGATGGGTGTGCGTGGGCTTCCTGTATACGCTTGTGGTGAGGCGGCCGTCAGGATCTCTTAAAACTGCGGTGTCTAGGAAGGCGAGTTTGTTGTCTTTCTCTGTCTCCATGGTGAAGCGAATGGAAGGCTGCTGGTTGTTTAAAAACAGTGTCTGTTCACTTACAGCGAGCATAGTTGTTTGCTTCTGGGCTCAGTTTTGTTTGGTTTACCCCGTCAATCTTCTTCTTGGTGTTGCTCGTCTCTCTTTGATTGAAGCTGACGTGTACTGCAGCTTGGACTTGCTTTGCTTCTTTTATGCCGTACTTAATGCTATGCATATCTATTATTAATGCTTATTTGAATTTTATGTTTCAGCGAGAGGTACATTGTATTCTTGATAATTCATTTAAGATTTTCAGGAAATGTCAGGGAGCGTGTTTATTTTAATTACACTAATCGCTACAATATGGTTGCAATGGCTCGGGCAAAGTGGCATTTCCGGCCATTTACGTCGTTTTTGTTTGTTTGTTTTTCTTTACAGGAAATGTGACATAAATGTGATATACTCCAAGGAAGCATGTCTGGTGTAATTTTGATGAGTGACTTCTAAATCTAGAGATTAGCATACCGTTCACGCTTGCTTTTTACCTGCTCCTGACAACAGAGATCGAATACTTGCGCATAGGCAAACATCAAAACAGTTAAGTATCTCACAGAGCCAGACGGCATAGTGCTTGCAGGTTACACAACCTCTCAAACCAGAAAGTTATGGAAAGAAATTATCCAGGTACCGCGTTTGTCTTTCCTTTCTCTGTCTTTAGATGAAAAAAAAAGAGTGAAGGTTGTAATCACTCCATAGAGCAGTCCGTTGCTTTTGTGTTATTTGGCAGTCGAGTACTCAGTATAAGGTGGCAAGGCCTATGAATAATGAAATATAAAATGGATTCCCACCCTCAAAAAGTATATCTCCTCAAACGCCACACTTGCAAACATGTGCG